CCTCTCTGCCTGGGCCCCCTTTGATGTGCCACTCTGCCGGGGCCTCTTGCCGATCCCGCGGGTCTCTAACCGTCCTCCCCCCTGCGTCCTCGCATGTCTGGCGGCGGTCCAGCCGACCACCCCGGGCCGCACCTCGGCCTGATCGAGAGTTTTGTCGAGGTCCTCCGGTCGCTGGCCGACACCCTGATGAGCCGGCTGTCAGACTCGCGGTTCCCGGTCCTCTCGATCTCCTTCACCTGGCTGTCGCGCGAGTACACCCACACGGCGGAGCGCCTGTCGCGCGGCGCCTCGGCCGGCTTTGAGTCCGCCTCCTCGGCCGCCGAATTGGGCGCCATGCCCGAGCGGTCCTTCCGGTCGTTCCTCACCGAGGGCCTTCTGGGTTTGAACCTGGCGGTCATGGTGCGCGAGCGCCACACGGATTTGCTCCCGTGCTTGCATCTGGCCGCGCACTATGTCCTGCTGGAGCTGCTGAGTCGGGAGTTTGGCCCGAATGGGGCAGCCGGTGGCGGGGGGCCGGCCACGCAGATGGCCGGCCCCTGTCCGCCAATCCCGCGGGACTTCCTGACACATCTGGGCCCCGGGGGCCGGCCCCTGCCGGCCGGCTCCGTCAGCCAGGAGCACATCGACTCGCACCACCTGGAGTGGCTGCTGCACTGCAATGTGCCCTTGCGCGTGTCGCTGCTGGGCTTCCTGCCGGTGACCCTGATCCAGGACCTGCGTGCATACTATGTGGGGAAGTTTGTCTCGGTCCGGGGGACGGTCGTCCGCACGTCCAACATCAAGCCGGTGGCCCTGTCCGGGGAGTTTTCCTGCGTCAAGTGCCTCGGCCAGCAGGTGGTCCTCTTTACCGAGGGCCGTTTCCAGCCGCCGGCTCGGTGCCTGGGGCGCGGGTGCCGAGGCAAGGTGTTCGAGTTCCTGCGCGACTCGCCGGGGACAACCACCTGCGACTGGCAGCAAATCAAAATCCAGGAGCTTCCGCGAGAGGATGCCGGCGAAACGGCCGACGACGCCATGGCCGGACGCATCCCCAAGAACATTGCCGTCGACCTGCCGCCCTACCTGGTGGACTCCTGCGTGCCGGGCGATGTGGTCACTGTCACCGGAACCGTGAAGCTGGTCGGCACGGAGGAGAGTGACTCCAGTGGAAGCACCGGGGCGGGCACCGGCGAGGGGTCAAGCTCGCGCAAGCGCAATCGCAACGCCACCACCTTCTTCCTGTATCTCGAAGCCCTCGGGGTGGAGAGCTCGTACGTGGACTTGCTTCCCTTCCTGGCTATCCTGCTTGTCTGCCAATGTGTCTGTTTGCCAGTTTTGTCTGCCAGTTTTGTTTGTCTGTTCTTCTCTCTCTCTCTCTCTCTCTCTCTCAGCTTCTGACTTGTGTTGATGGATCTTTCCTCTCCTCCTGGCTTCCTCTCTGTCATGCATCCTCGATGGGGCCTCTTTTCCCCCCTGCCTGCTCCTCCCTCCTCCCCACCTTGCAGGCGTGCCAACGATGCCGGCGACTTGGAACACACGAACAGCACCGCCGACAGCCGAGTCTCTTCGGATTCTTATTCCGGCTCGGATCAGTCCTTCTCCGTGCGAGACCTCTACTCCATCCGGTACATCGCTTCGCGTCCGGCCCTCTTTCGGCGCCTGGTCCACTCCATGTGTCCGGCCATCCATGGACATAGCATTGTCAAAGGTGCGCGTCTCGTCGCTCCCCCTCCTTTTCCGGCCTTGCTGCTCTGGGCCCTTTGCTGACCGTTGTGCCTGGCCCGGGGTGGGCACCCCCACTGGCCGAGGCAGCCGGTTTCCTGCTGGCACTGTTCGGCGGCCGGCGCAAGCACACCGGCAACGACGACCGGCTGTCAGTACGCCACGATTCCCACATCCTGGTGGTCGGTGATCCGGGCATGGGCAAGTCCCAGCTGCTGAAGGCCGTGTCCAGCATCGCCCCCCGGTCGGTGTACGTCAGCGGCATCAATGCCACGTCCACCGGTCTGACGGTGACCCTACACCGGGACCCGGACACCGGCGACTTCGCCCTGGAGGCCGGGGCTCTGGTCCTGGCTGATCAGGGCATCTGTTGCATCGATGAGTTCGACAAGATGGGCACCAATCACCAGGCCCTGCTGGAGGCCATGGAGCAGCAGAGCATCAGCATCGCCAAGGCTGGCATCTGCTGCACGCTCCCCTCACGCACAAGCATCCTGGCCGCGGCCAATCCGATTGGTGGGCATTACGAGTGCGTGCCGGGCCGATGCCAAGCTGCTTTCCCTGTCTGCCCCCTCCCCTCCACCGCCATGCACCTGTTCCTCCCCTTTTGACACACGGCGCAATGTTGTCAGCAAAAACAAAACCGTCTCTGAGAACCTCAAACTCTCGAATGCCATCCTCTCGCGCTTCGATCTGATCTTCATCCTGCTGGATACTCCGGACTCCGAGCTGGATCGGGTCCTTTCGGCCCACGTCATGTCGGTGTGTGCCTGGACACATGCATGTCTCCCGCATGCCCTGTGCTCTTCCATCCCTCTCCCTGCGCACCCCAGTTGCCACTGACCATCCCCCCTTCCCTGGGCTTCTCCCCGGCTTTAGCTCCATAGCGGACTTGGGCCTGGTGAGCGGGCGGATGCCCGATCGCCAAGCCAAGGGCATGGTCATGTACCCCAGCAGCAACAGCAGCAGCCGCCGCCGCCGCCGCCACATCCCTCCGCCGCCGCCGGCAATGCCATGCCCTCCCGAGCTCCCGGTGATCTGGATGCCGATGCCTTCATCCGCGACCTTTCAACCGCACCATCCGGCTTCAGTCCCTTCCCGCCGAAGCTCCTGCGCAAGTACATCCTCTATGCGCGGACATATGTCTTCCCGACGTGCGTGTCGCCGTGCCTCTTTGCCCGACACCATCCCTCCCCCCTTGGCGACTAACTGCTCTCCCTACCTCCCGCCCATCTCTCCCCCTCCCCCCTCCCCCTCGGCCTATTTGGCGCTGGTGCCCTCCAGCCTTACCCCCAAGGCGGCCGGCATTCTGCAGCGCTTTTACTTGGAGCTTCGGTCAAAGTACGCGGCCTACGATTCCACCCTGATCACCACGCGTCAGCTGGAGAGCCTTATTCGCTTGGCGGAGGCCCATGCGCGCGCGCACCTGCGCGAGTTTGTCCTCGAGGAGGATGCCCTTGCCGCGACGGCGCTGATGTGCGTCTCGAGTGTGTCTTCCCCCACCCTTCCTGCCCCTTCGTTCGCCCTCTGATTGTTTTGTTTGCCGCCCCCGCACACTGGCCTTGCCCATGCTCCGATGCTTCTTCCTCCTCCTGTCGGCACGGCTCGGTCTACAGGAAGCACAGTGTCTTCAGTACCCTCGAGGATGAGCACAACCAGCTGCAATTCGGCCGCGCACAGCATGGCACCGGTTCCAGCAACCGCAACGCCCAGCGGCGCTTCCTCTCCCAGTTGGAGATCCTGGCGTCGGCACGTGGCGATCACAACTTCACTCGCGGCGAGCTGATGGACCTGGCCCGCGGTACGAGTGCCCCCCCCCCCCTCTCTCTCTCTCTCCATCCTCCTTTTCCGTCCTCTTCTCCGCCTGTCGCCATCTCCCTCGCGGTTCACTCACCGCCCCTCCTCCACTTCAAATCTGGTCAGTTCTCCAAATCGGGAATCCAAACTCCTTCATCGACAACCTAAATCTGAACGGCTTCCTCCTCTATCAGGGCAGCAATCGGTTCCGCCTCTTCACATCGTAGAACACCCGAGCTCGGACAATGGCATTTTTCGTTCTACAATACCAACCAATAAAATGTGTCCTCGGTCTCGTCACAGTGCGTCGGCACCTCCCATTTCTCGAAGACCAGATCAGGTCCATCTCCCCGCGCGGGATCCGCCCTGCGCGTGTGTGTGTGTCTGCGGGGCGCTTCAGCTTGGGGGGTACTTGGCCGCGGGCATGGCCCGTGTGTGTGAAGTGTCGCCCTCCCCCTCCTCTTTCAGGCTGGGACCGTGCAAGTGTTTGTTGCACAGGCTGTGTGGTGCGGCGTGCGGAGACGCAAGGGGATGTGGGTGGGGCGACACATGCTAGTCTCAAACGGGGCGGCCTTCTCACGCGCACCCTGGCCTGCTCGCGTGTTTGCCTTCCGCTGGCAACAGGCAGGCGTGTGCCCGGGCATCGCCGCGGGCATCATGCACGCGCCCTCCCTCAAGGGGTGTCTGGATCCCCGGGCCCGGAGGGATGTGGCGACGCCAGGGGCATCTTCCAAAAGACTGGCTCCCTGCCAGGGGCACCGCCCGCCTCGAGCACACTCCTCCGTCCTCCCTGCTGCCTACCCCCCCCCTTCCACTGTCCCATTCTCCTCTCCCTGCCCCTCGCTTGCCCATACGCCCGCCCGACAAGACGCCCTTCCCTGGCGCCCTTTCTGCCTCCCCCCTCCCCCCCAGCTCGCCCATACACGCGCGCCCACACACACGCCCCCCGTACCCAGGCATACCCAGGCACACAAACGTGCACGTACACGTACGCACGCACACATACACAGCCGGCCCATGTCCGCTCTGCAGAAGATGTCCCGGCTGCGGGTCGCGGCGCCTTTGGCCGCAGCGGCGGCCCCGGCCGCGGGATCGCACTTGAGCGCCCCCCGGACGTCGGACTCCGTGGCCTTGACTCGAAGCATGGTGTCGCAGGGCGGCCAGCGGGCCTCCGAGGCTGTCATGCACCTGCGCGCCCAGGGCGCCGCCACGCGGGCCATCACCGACAAGCAGACCCCCTTCGCCGTGTCGCAGCGGGCCGCCTTTAAGCCGATCAAGTCCCTGCGGCATCTCCACCGCAATGTTCCGGAGGCTGGCGGGTTCTACTTTTCGGCAGCGGCGACCGCGGCGTCCACTGCGGCGGCGGCGGCGGCGGCGGCGGCGGCGGCGGCGGCGGCAGCGGCGACGACGTCGGCGGCAGCTGCAGCCGCCGCTTCGGCCAATGCCCCGGCGCCCGCCGCTGGCGATGCCCCGCTATCGCCGCTGCTTGGGTCGCTGCTGCGTCTGGCCGACAACGCCGGCAACTCGCTATCCAACATGCTGGCGCTGGACGCGGCGCCTGCCGCCGATGTCAACCAGGCTGACAACCTGTCTCCCGAGAGCGCGGCCCTGCTGGAGGAGGCCATTGCGGAAGATCGCCGCATCGAGGGCCTCATCACGGAGGCCTTTGTGCAAGCCACGCCGGCCGGGTGTGTTTCTGCTTCGCTGCCGCCTGTCATTCGGCATCTTCTGGCTGCTTTGTCGCTCTTCGGGCCGCCCTCTGACCCTTCTCCCATCGCGGCCCGTGCCCTCCGCCGTCGCTCTCCCCCCTTCGGGCATCCGTGGCCACCGCCAGCCTCACGGCCGCCACCCGGCTCTTCCTGCGGCATGTCGCCCAAGCCAATGCCATGCACAATGTCGGCGCCCACCCGGCCCGCACGCAGGCCGGCTTCCGGTACTACAGCCCGGAGGGGCAGCTCCTGGCGCCGGGGCGGCCGTCCATTGTCGGGCCGCTGGATGCCTACCTGGCCGGCCTGCTGTCGCTGCCGAACCTGGGCCTCCGTCGGCTTGCCATCTTCCTGCACACGCAGCTGGCTCGCCGGCCGCAAATGGCCCGCGAGTTGGACACCCGGCTGGCAGACGCCATGCGGACCTGGAAGCAGGTGGCCGCCGCCGCCGGCGCCCCGGACGGCCCCCTGACCCCGGAGCATGTGCAGGGCTTCGTGGATACCTTTTCGCCGATTTTCAAGTACATCCGCTTGGAGATCCCCCCCACGCGGGCCTTCATCTCCGGAGCCCTGTGCTGGGAGCTGGGGCGCATTGGCGGCGAGCGCTTCCTACCGACCGACCTGCCGGCCGAGCTGAGCGCTCTCTACGCCCAGCGCCAGGATCCCTCCCAGTCGGCGACTGCGGCGCTGGATGATTGCTTCAAGATTCTCCTCCGGTCGGAGAGCCTGGCCCTGCCGGCTCGTGCGGCCGACCTCCGGGCCGTGGCCAGCCTTGCCCTGTCTGCGGGGGACTTCCACTCGGCGGTGGCCCTCCTGGCGCACAGCGCCCAGTCGGAGTGCGTTTCGAAGGCCCCTCTCCACTGTTGCCCCTTTCTTGCCACCCACCGACCGGGCCTCTGGGTGGCCGGTGCCCCTCGACTCGGGTATGCTGACCCGGCTCCCTCCCCCTCGGGCCCTTCCTCTCGCGTGCTTTCGCACGCGGCCTCGTGGCAATAGGCCTCTCACGGCCGACCATTTGAATGCCCTGCTGCAGCACGTGGACTCCTTCGGCCACATGGTGACCTTCCTCGATGCCGTGCAGACCTACCTGCCGGATCTCGCGGGGGACTCCTCGACTGTGGTGTCCTTGTTGCAGACGATCGCCCGGACGGCGGCCCGGCAGGCTGCCCCCGTGGTCGAGGCCCCGGGCCAGTCACCCACTCTGGCCCGCGTGCTGGACACCACGGCGACCGGCCTGGCACCAGTGCTGGCCCACCGCAAGGGGGCCACCAGCCGCCAGCTTCCCCCCTCCGGCAGGGCGCCCGCCTCCGAGTGGGACACCGGCAACCCGCTGCTGGTGCTGGATCTGGCTCAGCGTCTGCTTCGCCTGCATCCTGGCCAGCTGAACTCCGAGGCCTTCTCGGCTCTGTTGCATGCCCTGGCCGGGCCCAACCGGCCCGACGGCCCGGCTCGCGCCGCCGGGTTGGTGGGCCTCCTCCGGCGCGTGGCTGAGCGCTTCCCCGGGGACTTCCCCGATGAGGACGCCGTCGGGCTAGCCATCGACGCGGCGATCGCCTCCCGCGACAGACATCTTGTACGCCTGCGCCCATCCCCGCGGGCATTCTCTTCTCCCCTGCCGCCTGCTCCTGTCTTTGTCCTGTCCCCTCCCGTTGTCTGACCGAGTGCGCACCCTCGGCACTCCACCTCTGCCGCCCTGCACCCATGCGCTCCTCTTCTTTCTCCCTCTCTCCCCGTCCCCTCGCTCCCGACCTCTCCAGATCATGGACCTGGTCGGCATCCTCCCCCGGTCGTATGACCGGTCGCACGTGCGGCTGCTCGACGGCCTGGCCGATCTGGACATTTCGGTTGCCTCCTCCTCGCTGGTGAAGTACCTGGAGGCCGGGGTGCGTGCCCTTCCCCCGATGCTCGGGGGATCCCCCCTGCCCATGCCCCCGGCCCGCGCACATGGGCGGCCCCTGCACACCTCGCTGCCGTGACGATGATCCACTGATGCCCATCCCCCTGGCCTTCCTCTGCCACCTGTAGGAGGTCCCCTCTTTCTCGCCGGTCCGCTTCTTGGACGAGGCCTCCCTCGGGAAGTTCCTTCACCGCGAGGGCCCGCTGTCGGGAGACCTGTTTGGGTCGCTCGTTTCGTGCCTCATGGCACATGGACGCCTGCGCGATGCCCAAGCCCTGGTCTTGGCCCACCACCAGGAGCACGGGGCCGAGGCGGCTCTCACGGCCATGACTCGCGGCTGGCGCGCTGGCGCAACGCTCGAGCGCGCCATTGGTCTCACTCTCTTCTGGGCCGTGCGCCTCCTCGATGTGCGTATCGGTGTTGGGCTACCTCCCCTCTCTCCCCCCCCCCCCTGCGCCTGTCATGCCTGCTGCTTACCTTTGCCCTCTCCCTGCTCGCGCTCCCCGTCGCACCTCCCTGTCGCGCGATGCGATGCTCCAGGCGCCGGTCTCCGATGCCTTCGTCGATACTCTGACCGACAAGCTGTTTGTCATGCAGCATGATGCGGCCGGTGGCTCGGGCCCCAGCTCAGCGGCCGCCATCCGTGAGTCGGCCCTGTACCAGGCCATTCGCGAGGAGGTGGTCGCCAGTCTGGAGGCCCTGTCGGCCATTCGGTCCTCGGGGGCCGAGCAAACGCCGGCTGCCGACGCTCCCGCCGAGGATGCCGAAGATGTGGCCACCGCCAACGAGCACGCCCCGGAGGGGACTCCCGTCGCCAAGGACCACGAGGCCGTGGTGTCTGAGGCCTTCCTCACGGCCAGGAAACGTCTCCTTGGGATTGCCACCGGCGCGCCAGCAACAAGCCCCTCCTCATAAACACCGCGAGGGAAGGGAACAGAGAGGGGGTCGGACAGTCGGTGCCCTCCCGCCGAGGCTTCCTCTCTGCCCTCCCCAGCAAAGCGGTCCCATAGATGCATGTTGCCTCGCACAGGGGGCGGGGGTGAAGACCTCCCCCCTGAATAGATTCCATATGTGCCCTGCTTTGTGGTGTGACACACACACACACACACGATCGTATGAGGCCCGCTCCAGAAGGCAAACAGGAGGGAGTGTATTGTGGGGGGGGGGGGGGTGTTTTCCTCCTGCCGACACCTCTTGGCGAGGGGCAAAGCAGGCTGGACAGAGAGGACAAGAAGATGTGGGCTTGCATGTGCACACGCGCGCACACAGAATACGGGGCTGACGTGGTGGGCGGGTGGTCCTCTTGGCGCCGGGGGCAAACGCCCACACATGCAAGGGATGGGTCGTCCCCCTCGCCATCCCCTGTAGGGGCCAGCCCTATCGGATCCGACTCCTCACAAAAGCCACCCGCCTCCCCCGCGACGGCATCGGGAGGGCTTGAATGATACACGCCGCCCGAAGGGGGAGAGGGGAGGACGCAGGGGTCGGAAAGAATGATAGAAGGACAGACAAGACGCCTGGAGGCGGTGCCTTGCCCCTTCTTCTTAGAAGGCAGCATGGCCGGTGATGGCGCGGCCAATGATCAGGCCGTGCACGTCGTGGGTGCCCTCGTAGGTGTTGACGGCCTCGAGGTTCATGACGTGGCGAATGATCGGGTACTCGTCGGAGATGCCGTTGCCACCGAGCATGTCGCGGGCCTCGCGCGCGATGGCCAGGGCCTTGCCGCAGTTGTTGCGCTTCAGCATGGAGATCATCTCCGGGGCGGCGCGGCCGGCGTCCATCAGGCGGCCAACCTGCAGGCAGCTCTGCAGGCCGAGGGCGATCTCGGTCGAGGCGTCGGCCAGCTTCTTCTGGATGAGCTGGGTGGCGGCCAGCGGGCGGCCGAACTGCTGGCGGTCGACGGTGTAGCTGCGAGCGGCGTGCAGGCAGGCCTCGGCCGCGCCGAGCGAGCCCCAGGCAATGCCGAAGCGGGCCTTGTTCAGGCAAGAGAACGGCCCACGCAGACCGCGGGCGCCGGGGAGCATGGCAGTGGCCGGGACAATGACGTCGTCCATGACGATCTGGCCGGTGGTCGAGGCACGCAGGGAGAACTTCCCGTGGATGGTGGGGGTGGAGAGGCCGGGCATGTCCTGGATGGTGGAGAGGGGAAGGGGAGAAGGCGAGGAAGACAGCCGGGAGGGCAGCGAGATTAGGGCGCCCGCGGGGATGGTGTGTGGAATGGCGGGGGGAGGCGGGAAGGGGGACACATACGCGATCGAGGAGGAAGCCGCGAATGACACCGTCGTCGGTCTTGGCCCAGACGACGAAGACGTCGGCGATCGGGGAGTTGGTAATCCTGCATGGATCGGCGCGCCGGGGGCAGCAGAGACGTTAGAATGAGGACACCGCCCCGTGACTGGCAGGGCTGGAAGATCCAGGGGGGGGGGGGGGGGGGGGGGGGAGTTGCATGCCGGGCCCCATCACGCACCAGGTCTTGGTACCGGAGAGCTTGAAGTCGCCGCCGGGCATGGACTTGGCACGAGCCTCCATGCTGCCGGGGTCGGAGCCGTGGTTGGGCTCGGTCAGGCCGAAGGCACCGATGATCTCACCGGTAGCTGGGGAAGAGAAAGACACAAGGTGAGCATGGGGGGGGGGGGGCGGAGGGAAAAGGGAAAGAAGGAAAGGAAGGAAGAGCGTCTGCCCCCTCTCGGCCTCCGCCCCGGGAGGCTGGCCACAAGGGTGGTGCGCATGCCGGGCACGTACCCAGGCGGGGCAGGTACTTGGAGCGCTGCTCCTCGCTGCCGAACACATAGATCGGGTACATGACCAGAGAGCTCTGGACACTCATGGCACTGCGGTAGCCGGAGTCGACGCGCTCCACCTCGCGAGCCATCAGACCATAGGACACGGAGTTGACACCGGGGCAGCCATACCCGTCGATGGTGGACCCGAGCATGCCGAGGGCGCCCATCTCGCGCATGATGGCGCGGTCGAAGTGCTCCTTGGAGTTGGCCTCGCGCGCGCGCGGCAGCAGCTCCCGCTGGCAGTAGGCGCTCACCTGCGACTGGATCATGCGCTCCTCGTCGGTCAGGCAGGAGGCCAGGTTCAGCGGATCGGTCCAGTCGTAGGAGGTGTAGACGTTGGCCTCGGCCGCGACGTCGCCGGGCTGCGAGGAGGCCGCAACATGGCCAGCCGGCAGGGAGATCGCCCGGGCAGCGGAGGTGGTGAAGGCGCGAGCACCGGCGGCGGCGGCGGTAGGGGCGCGGCGGGCAAGGGCGGAGATCATCTTTTCGGGGTGCTACGAACTGCGGCGGGGTTAGTGGGTGCGCCGATGTGCATGTGCATGTGCATGTGCATGTGTGTGTGCTGGGCGAGGCGGGGTGGAGAGGAGGGGGGGAGGGGGGGATACCGTCGATGCGGGATGCGGGACGAGCGGAAAGCGGAAGAGGGGAGCGTGGGGTGTTGCAAGTCGGACACTAGCATGTGTGGAGGTCGCTCGCTTTCAATGCCCCGCCCCCTGTGAAGGGAGGCGGCCCCCGGCCGATGCAATCCGCCCCCGCCAAAGCGGCTCCCAGGCAAGGGCCCTGGCCAGAGCGCGGCCCGCCCCAATCGTTGGGAACCAGGCCGGCCCTGTGGGCACGGGACGGGCGTTGCGATGCAGCCGTGTCTGGTTGCATGCGCGCTTGCTTTTGTGAGGCTCGCCGGCCGGGGGCATTTCGCGCGGCTGTTTGCCGGTAAAAGCGGAGAGACCGGGCGGTCGCGGCGGCCGATGCCGGGGGCCACCCGGCCAGGGGACACAGAGTCACCCGGGCCCGGGCCTCGCGCACACTTTTGTGCGCTTCCCCACCCACTGGGCCTCGTCGCCGCGTGTCTCTGTGTGCGCACTCCGTGTGATGAATGGCGACTAAAATGGGGAACCGCCGTGGCGCACGTTTGGGCCCGGGCCCGCCAGAACGTCCAGACACGGTGCGGAGATTCCCGCAGCACGGCCATGCTTCTCCCTGTGGCGTCGGACGCCTGGGTGAATTTACCCCAAAAATGGGCTGGCGAAGATACGAGGAATGCTATTCACTCTTGACCTTGTGCATCACCGCGTGACCACGCCACGGTAGGACCGCAGCGGGCATCGACGCCCATCGAGGAGCTGCCGCTGAATCGCGCACTGCACGTGCAGAGACCCCGTGGATGCGTTATACAGTCTAAGTAGCATTCCTCTGGAGCGGGATGCGGCGCCAGGTGCCGGCCATGGTTCAGGACCGAGCGGCGTTGCGCGCCGGACGGAGGAAGGCGATACGCACGCATGCGGAGGGGCCCGGTCGCCAGGTCTTCAGGTCCACCCTTCGACCGAAGCCGAAGGCGGCAAAGGGGACTCCGCCGGAGGGGCCTACCGAAGACCATGGCAACTGTGTGCGCGTGTGTGTCGAATGCCATGAGAGAGCTAATACCGACGGCCCGGTCAGGCCTGTGGGCTGCTCCGGTCTGGGGCTTCTCCTCCTGGGCCGGCTTTTAATTTCTCCTCTCCATTTGGCTTGCCCAACCATTCGTCCACGGGCCGGCCTCCGCGCTCTGTCTTTCAAACAACGGTATTCCCGGGCCCGGTGTGCCCCCTCCCTTGCTGCTCGGGGCTGGCCTCACCCCAGTGGCAGGATTTCCGAAGGAGCTTCCGTTACACGGCCCCGCTCGTCCGACATCGGGCTGGGCCCGTCCCTACTGCGTGGGGGCCTCGAGCCGGGCCAGCGACCGGGAGGGGGGATCCAATGTAGCAGACCCGGAGCTGGGGGGGCGCACGTTCAAGGGTCTCGCCTCCGCGCCGGGCGGGGCATGTGACCCGCCTTCGATTGGCCTATCACGCCAAGCTCTCGCCAGTTGGCATCCGGGCCCAGCAGCCGGTGGATTGATGCCTGCCGCCGTTTCGCCCCGCCTCCCCAGGCTCTCGGGTTTTTTTTTCTTTGGCCGAGGGGGCCTGGTGAAGTGACGCTTGGCCGCTTGCAAGTCTCGGCCACCCGCGCCATCGGGCTTCCGCCGTCGGAACGATGAGGGAGCCAGGGAACTCCTGTGAGGAGGGCTCCGCGCGAGCGCACCCGCGCCGCCCGATACCACATCCCCAAGCAGGCGAGTAAACAGGCATGCATGCCGGATGTGCGAACGCGGCTGGGCGGCCGGACGGCACGCCGCAGCAGCCGGGTCTTGAAACACCACCAACACGCTGGGCCCCGGGGCCTGCGCCGGTTTCGTCTAGCCTGGATTGGGAAGGCTGGCCTGGTCGCGCGGCTTCGGTGGCGGAGCCGCGTGTTTGGGGGCGGGGGGCGCAGAGGCATTCATGCACCCGGAGGGGCACGCGAATGCGCCGGTGTGGGGCTGGCGTGGGGCGCCTGAAAACGGCCGCCCCGTGTCTCGGGTGCGGGGGGGGGGGGGGGCAGGATTTTCTCATGCTCGAGGGCGGGCCGCCCCCCCTGCCTCTGCGTGCGGAGTGGCGGGCCTGGTGCGAGTCCCCCCGACCGGGGGCAGGCAGCCGAGCCAGTGTCACACGCCTGGCCAGGGCCAAGCGCGGCCCGTGCCGGCCGGGTGTGGGAATACCCGGAGCAGCTGCGCGTGGCGCCGAACGCGACCAGCGCCCGGGGATTTCATTCTCCGGGGCTCGGGCGACAGGGGGGCGGGGGCCGGGCGGTCCGCTGGTAGCTCGTGGGGGGGGGGGGCGGATAGGCCGGCGCTGCGTGCCCTTCTGCGCGGCCTGCCGGCGGCACCCAGGGGGGCCCGGCGACCATTTCCCGCTTTGTTGCTGGCATGCAGCGCCGGAAAATGCTTCCCCCCTCCCTCGGCGTGTTGCAACACGGCGAGCGTCCCCCCCCCCCCCGTGGGGCGTCAAGGGGGTGCATGGGAACGGGAGATGGTCGTTGCCCAAGTGTCGGCCGGATGTCACGGCTCGCCAATAGTTGCCTGCGAAGCGTGCCCGGCCGGCTGTTTATTGCCCCTCACTCCCGCCCGCCTCGAGCACTGCGGCCGGGAGCCCACTTTGCCCCCCTCCCCAACACCCCGCGCCCCTCCCTTGGCGAAGCTCGCATTTGCACTTTCGGTGGCTTGGTATTTTGTTTTTCATTTCCCCCCGCCGGTGGGATGTGGCCGATTCGGGGCTCTGTCCCAGGCCGAAGTTCGTCTTGGGGCGGGGCGGTCGCCTCGGGATCGACCTGGCCCAGTGGGGAGGAAATATTCCCCCCCTCCCCCCCCCCCCCTGTCCCCCGCCCCACCGAACCTCGAGATTACCCCTCGTTCGCGGCGCGAGAATCCCGACCGTTGGAGTCCCAGTCCTGTTGCTCTTTCCCCCTCTCGGGAGAGCCTCGGTGTGGCAGGGGGCCCCTTCCCAAACACGATTCTCCTGGGTGGGAAGCAAGGCCCTCCGCGCGCGCGCGCGCGCGCGCGGCCCTGGCACACTGTCCCGGCCTGCGCGGGTGTGCGGGCGCTGCTCGGATGCCCTCTCGGATTGAGCCTGGCCAGATCGGGGGGAGTCTGCGCCCGAGAATGGAAGCCAGCACGGCCCCGGGTGCGCGCACTCGGATGCATCCTCCCCTGCTCCCGCGTCGCGCGTCCGGCCACTCTGCCTGCTTCGGGTGTTCCGGGGCGGGGCGGCATGTTGGCGTGCGTTCGCTTCACGCAACTCCCCACACATCTTCAAGGTGTCTCACCAGCCTCGGGGGGCCAGCCCCGGGAGAGTGGGCAGAAAATAACAACAGTTGTGTGCCCCCCCGCCCCCCTGGCCCCCCGTGTGTCCAAGACTCATTGGTCATCCTGCGCGGCAGGGCTCCGCGGCTCCGGGCAATACTTGCGGACTGCCGATGTTCTCCAGGCTCCCTCCCCCCCGGCCCCCGGCCCGGGTGTATTGCTTGCTACTCGCTTTTATCCTTCAAGCACACGTTCCCCCTGGCTGACCCCCCTCCCCCCGACCGCCCTCTCGCCCTGTCTATTCTCAACCGCGCACCGACTCCACCCACACTCAGCGTCCATTTACGTCCAGGGGTTGTCGGCGAGCTTCCCCGCGGACTCCCCTGAGTGGAGGACCGGGGGGGGGTGGGGGGGGGGGGGTCGAGCTTGGCCGGCCGGCGCGTCTTGTGTAATTCGCCTTTCGGCTCATCCGCCCCCTGGGACGCCTCCTGCCTCGCCGACGGCCGTGCTGGCGGGCTTCTCCCACACCCGCGGCTGGCCGGGGCACCGCCGAGCATCCCTTCATTGGCTGCCCCTTTGCGGCTGATCCTCCGTGCTCCGGAGGCCGAGATCACAGTCTCCCCCCGCTCGCTGTGGCGCGCCCCCCCCCCTCTCCCCCCGTGCCCGTGCCCGTGCCGACACCGCGCCGCCCACCTCCCGCTCCCCCGCCACCCCTCTCCCGTCCTCTCCCGCTTGCCTCTTCTCCTCTCCCGCGTCCCACCTCCCTCCCCCCCCTCCTCCTCCTTGCCTCTCTTCCTGCCCCCGCTGTGGGCCTCAAACAAGGCGCTGTCATGTCCCGGAGCGGCCCCCTTGCCATTCGCCTTCACAATGACTTCGACACTGAGGAGTCCTCCAAGGGGCTGCTCATCCGCGAGAACGCATCTACGCGGGAGATCCTCCGCGAGGCGGTGCGCAAGTTCCGCGTCGGAGTCAGCGACACCACCGACATCAGTGACTATGCCATCATCCTGACCATCGGCCCGTGTACGTGTGGCACTGTGGCCCTATGCCCTCGGCTTTCCGGCCTGCTGCTGCTGCTGCTGCTCTTGCCTCTCAGTGAGACACGGTGGGTGTCATCTTGCGCTGACTGACGACCGATCTGTCGGGGTTCTTTTTCCCTTCCCTTTGGCCGGCCTCCAGCGGAATGGATTCTCCCGGATGCCCCCTTCGGGGCGATCCATCGGTTCATGGATGCCGTTAAGGGATACAAGATGCCGCCGGCCCCGCGCGATCCGCTTTACGTCACGCAGTTTTCCCCCGACTCATATGAAAACGCCCGGATTTTTCTCACTCGAAAGAAAAAGGCACGCTTTCCATGCCGCCCGCCACCATGCCTTTCGACACTGACCATTGCTTGCTGCCCCGCTCAGTTTGTCTCGATTGCCGTTGGCCACGTCTCCTCGGTCCGCGACTCCTCCAGCAGCTGCCGGTACCCAAGCCGCCCTCCCCGCCTCCCGCGCTTCCCTCATGATGCCCATGCGCCCGCACAGACACAGACACACACACACACATGCTGACTCGCCCCTTCGGCTTCCATGTCTTCCCCCGCCTCTCGCATGTGTGCATCAGACTGGGCATCGATGACAGCATGTCTGCCAAGGCTGTCATCCAGCAGGCCATCGTCAAAATGGGCCTCAGTTTCTCCGTCGAGCAGTGCAACCTCTGGTTCATTCACGATGGCATCAGTGCGTCGCTGGCATTCCCTCCTGTCCCGTCCCCTCGCCCTGCCCTGTTTCGGCCTCTGGTGCCTCCCCCCCCCCCTTCCTTCTCCTCACCCACGCCCCTTGCTCATCTCTCTCTCTTTCTCTTTCTCCCCCTCCACCCTCGCCAGCTGAACGCTGCTTCGACTATCTCGAGCACCCGAGCATGACAATTTCCTACTGGCGACGCCGGGGACAACGAGAGAACATCCGGTTGGTCATCCGCCCGCGCCAGGTCAACCCCCACGGACTGGTGGTGCTATCGACTCTCGGAGAGGTCTATCCCCCTCCACAGCCTGAGGACTCCCCTTTCCGCGTCAAGTGCAAAGAACGCAAATACGTGCGTCCGCCACCTTTTCCCCCCCCCCCCCCCCTATATGGCCTGATGCCACACGTGCGCACACGCACATGCCCACGGCCCTCCCTCCCCGACTCACAGCCTGGCCTGTCCCTTTGGCCCGTCAGCTCAACTCCGCCTGGCTGGCCTGCCTTCGGTCCTTCCCTGCCAACAACCAATGTGCCGACTGTACTGCCCCCTGGCCGCGCTTCGTGTCACTGAACCTCGGGATCTTCCTGTGCGAGGATTGCGCCGGCATCCACATGGATCTCAGTACCTGCTCCGAGAACTCCGGGCACCACCAAGCCCTGCCCTTCTGGTCCAAGATCCGGCCAATGGACTTCTTCAACTGGTCGTCGGATCTCTTCGAGGTACGTCCACCATGGTCACGCCACCAATGGCCCCGTGCCGATGAGCGCCCATTGACGCCCGGTGCCTTGCTCCGCAGCTTTTCGTGCTGATCGGCAATGCCCGATCCAACAGCCTCTGGGAGCGCTTCCTCCACCGCCCCCAGCCGGACTATGATCGCGCGCAGTTCATCGCCGGCGAGGCGATCATGAAACAAGCGCAGCCGGACAACGATCAGATTGCCGCCTGCTTGACCCCGAGCCAGCCAGAGTTGCCGATTCTCCGTGGCCCGCCATTCCCCCAATACTACGACTGGGTGAAGCCCCTGCCGATGGCCGTGCTGGACATCAAGCGGCGCTTCATCATCAACAAGTACATCTTCCGGCGCTACTCTTTGGACCTGAGCCGAGCCATCCTACCAAGCCGCACTCCGATTGAGGTAAGCCCCCCTGCCCTTGATTGGCCAATGCCATCTGCCTCTAGCCCCTTCAATGATTCCCCCGCCTCCCCACTCACCCTTCTCCCGCCCTCTCTCGGTCTCTCGCTCTCCTTCCTTGCTCGCCTCCCCTTCTTGATCCAGGTCCTCTTCCGGTCGATTGCCAACGCCAATCACGCCCTTGTGGCACATCTCCTGGCCCAAGGGACCTCGGCATTTGTGAAGGGGGTCATCGATCCGAACCAGCAGCACCCAAACAAGACAAGCTTCTTTGGGCAGTCGCCCTTGCATTTTTCCGCGCTGCGTAGCAACTCGCCGATGTCCCTGCTGCTTACCTGGGCCGGGTGTAACCCCTCAGCACGGGACAATCGCCAGCGCTCGCCGCTGCACTTTGCCTCGGCCATCAAGCGCAAGCAGACGGACTTCAATACGCAACTTTTCCGCGAATCCCAGGTCCTCTTCGATGCATTGGAGCGTGAGTTCTTCGACCTGGAGCCAGTGCACGATCCTTCCGGCCATCCAGCCCTACGGGCGGATGTTCGCGCGGCCTGCAGCCTGTTCCTGCTGCACTTTGGCCAGCCGTCCGAGCACCTGGTCCAGGAGTTTGTCTCGCCCGAGGGCCGGCAGATCCGTCTCTTTCTGGCGTCCATCCCGGATGCCGGGATACAGCGCCTCTTCGCCTCAGCCGTGGCCGAGATTGAGCATCGGTGGAGTCACCGGACCGAGGCCGAGGCCGCGGCCGCCAATTACTCCAGCGATGTTGCGGTTCTCCTGTCCGATGCCATGAGTGCGTGGATGCCCCCGGGTTTTGCTTTGCCCTGGCCGGTCTTCTCTTCTCGTGTGCCAGCTCGCCGCCGGCCGTGTCTAATCCCCCGCCCCCCTCCCCCCCCCAGACTCCGACGAGCTGCTGGTTGCCCAGATGTCCGATGACCACCTGCCCTTGCTGCTGGATGCCCTGACTGCGGAGGTGACGCTTCGTGAGCAGGCGTCCGTCTACCTGCGACACATCCGTGCGGTCGGCCCGCGGCAGCATGCCCGGCCGCGGCCTCGCCAAAAGCCGGCCAATCGGGACTCCGTGGCGCAGGCCGTGTCGGCCTGGGAGTCACGCAAGTCCCTGAGTGCCGAGGCGATTGCCGCCCAATCTGGCACCAGTGTGGAGCACCTCCAGGCCAGCATGGCCGGGGCTTCGTTCTTTGTGTCCGCGCCAGCGGGGCATCCTGGCAGGCCTGGCCACGCGTTCGGCGCGGCGGCAACCCCCGACCCGGAACCCGCGCCGAGCACCAGCTTCTCCTCGGTCTTCCGCCAGGCCTTCTCTCGGAAGAGCTCAGCCATCAGCTCGGAGGCAGGGCCCGCCGGTGTTGGCAGCGCCTCGACGCTGGGGGCAAAGTCGCGCAATGCCGCCGGCAAGTCGCAGGCCAACTCCACTGGGCCGTCGACCACCAGCGCTGGTGCGGGTGCTGGCGCGGGCGCCGGCCCCGGTACCGGCGCCGGGTCCGGGACTGAGCTCATCTTCCGGACTCTCGGCACTGGCCCGGGCTACTCGCCGGTTCCGTCGCAGTGGATGGAGGACTTGCTGAATATGCAGCTGGCGGAATTGTCCTCCATCTCGGGCGTGGCATCGGAGCTGCTGTTGATGAGCGACATCTCGCAAGACCTGCTGCTAAGCGTGGACGATCGCCTGGGCATGGACCTCGTGGATCAGGCCTCCAACTCGCGGACGGTCTTCGTGTCCGGGGATCCGCCCACGGCCGGGGGAATGCCCACTGGGGGCAATAGTCAGGGCGGCTCGCCGGCCAGTAAGCAGTCCTTCGCCGTGGACATGACGCAAATCATCAACAAGCAGGGGGGCAGCTCCCCCGGGGGCCGGGCCGACAGCCCCATCAGCGGCATGAAGCCTCCGCCGGGACAGCCACCGGCCCACCTGCGTGCTGGGTCCTTGGCACATAATGGCGCGCCGCAATTGGCCCCCGGACCCTTCCAGGGGACCAATCGCCTGTCCATGATGCGCAGTCCCACGCCCCTGGGTCCCGGGGAGGGCGGCTCTTCTGGCGGCCCCGGCACCGCTGCCGCCCTGCCCGGCAACTCGCTCCACCATACCAGCTTCAGCCCCTCGCGACCGTCGCCGGGTGTGCATTCGCAGCACCAGATGCACCGGTTCAGCGCGTCCCCAGCCTTGACGGGGTCCTTCTCTTCACAGCCGCAGCCCGGACCCGGGGGGTATTCGGCCTCGGCGTCGGCCTACCACGCCGGCCAGCAGGCCCAAGCGCCCCAGCTTCCCCCCTCCTTGCTGGGGAATTCCACCTCCAGCGTCGGGGCCCCGGCGGCTGTGACCGGCACCTCTTCGCCCGCAAACATGGGCTCCTCCTTGTACTTCATCCAGCAGCAGCAGCAGCAGCAGCAGCAGCAGCCGGGACAGCATCTCCCCCAGCATGCGTCGGCGCAACTCCAGCCGCCTGCACAATACTCGGCGGGCCTTTCGACGCACCCCTACCCGCTGCACCCGCCGTCGCCGGCGCTCCCGCACCATATCCACCAGCACTCAAACGCGATGCCAGTGCCACACCATCCAGGCCACCAGCAGCCCCAAGGATCGGGCTCAGTGCCCATGTCCATGTTCCTCCCCCCGTCGATTGTCAGCTCGCCACCGGGGCAGCAGGCCCTCCACCCGCAGCCAGGCCCACAGGCCGGCCTTTCCCGGTCCACCATGTCTTCTTCGCTGTCAGATTTCCGTGGCCCTGCCGGATTGGCCCCCCCGGCGCCTGGGTCTGGCGTGTATGCCGGGCCACCGGCGAGCGCCCTTCCTCCGGCACTCCAATCCAACTGGCAGGCACGCACTCGGGCCAGCTCCATTGCCGGTGACCTTCCCAGTGGACGGATCCTCCCGGAGTCGCAGTCGCCCCTCTCGGCGACCGCCCTGCCGCCCAAGCTGACAGCTCCACCCTCCCAGGCGCTGGCCCCGGCGGCGTCATACGATCAGCAGACCATCGACCCGCGCATGCATCAGCAGTTCCAGCAGCAGACCCATCAGCAGCAAGCCCAGCATCCCTTTGCCCACCCCCATCAGCATCAGCACCAGCGCCAGCAGCATCACACCCATCACAGCCAGCCACCGTCTCAGCAGGTCCCGCCGCCTGGGGCGGGCCATTTCCCCCAGCCATCTCCCCCGGCAGGGGCCCTGTTTTCCGGTGCGGCCCTGCCGCCGCCGCCGCCGCCGGCCACCATGCACTTGCCCGCGGCGCCGGGGTCCACTGCTGCTGTCCGACCCCCGCAACACCCTCCACGCGTGGCGGGCCCGGGCACGTCCCCCGCACAGCCTGTCGGTGCGATTGACACGCCGCCCCCCTCACCGCCGACCAGTGTCCTGTCAGAGCGTGAGGAGCGCACTGACGCTGCGCGTGCCGTCCCCGCAAATGCTCCCTCTGGCCTGCCCCCCGCAGCTGCCGCGTCGGCCGTGGCTGCCGCCGCGGGGTCGTCGGTCCCGCACCCGGTTTCGGCCCCGGTGCCAACTCCCGCTTCGCCCTTGAGCACCCAAAGCCCGGTGGCCAGCCCCACCGGGTGTCCCCGGCGCGAAGCCGAGCGCGGCCTCTCGGCCATTGTGTGTGAGCAGCTGACGCCGCTTACTTCGCAGATGGTTGCCTCTCTTGGGAATCTGCCCGCCCGGGTGGGTCCTGGAACAGCCGGGCTGCCTGAGGGGCTGCACGAGGCTTCGAAGCGCCTGCTCCAGGCAACCGACGGCTTCTTGGCGGAGCTGGTCCGCTGCGGCGGCAGCATGGCCTGCTCCATGGACCCGGCTTTGGCTGAACTTGGTGTGGCTCTCACAAAGGGGGCTGGCGAGGTGGCTCAGGCGGCCGGACAACTGCGTGTTTGCTTCGCCGACACTCAGCCTGTCACCGAGGCCGATGCCTTCCGGGTGGCCGTCCGCGGGCGCCTTCTTCTCCTGATGCAAGCCGTGCGCCAGGCCCTTTCCCTCTGCTCGTGAGAGGTACCAGCGCCATTGGTCTCTGCCTGGTCTTCAGGAAGCCCCCAGTACACGGGTGTGCATGCGTGTGTGTGTGTGTGTATGTTGATGTTTTTCTTTTTCGGCGAGGGGGGACATGCTCCCGACATAGTTCATCCGGTGGCCACCCCCCTCCCCCCCTCCCCCTTACCTCCCTTCTGCCGCCCCTCCTATCGGCCCCATGCGCTTGTTCATGTACCGGCTGGTCCCGGCAGCGCCTCTCACCATGCGGGCGATATACACAATCCTGAGCACACCCACCCCCAAATACATGCACACACACACACACACACATGCATGCATGCACATGCTTATGTCCGCACGCACGCACGCACACTCGTAGATGGCAATGTGTTTGCCCCTCCTGCGGCTAAAGATGCCGTGGTCGTCTCTCAACGCGAGGGGAATGCCCCGTGTGGACGTTGCTCGCGAAGGGTGCGGCACGTCCCCCGCAGCCAGGACAAATGCGCGCGATCTGACCATGCGAAGGAGAGGGGTTGGGACTACAATTTAGCACGATCGCCGCCGGCTCCGGGCCACCAACCCACCATCCGCCCGCCGGGAGCCCCCTGCGCCGGGAGCCCCCGGGGAATGAACAGACCCTTGTGGATTGCTCGCAGTTTTGTTGTTGTCCCCCGCTGTCATGGCGGCCCAAGCCTATCGGGGTGTGCGTCTCCCAATGGACTTCGCCGGGGGGGGGGGGGGGTCCCACACTCGGCGGCTGGCATTGTGCGGCCCTGCCCTGCCCCGCCCCAGGCCTTTTCTCGGTGATCTCTCCTGCGCTCCCGGGGGCGAGGCGCGGGGCGCCGCAACCAGGGGGCATTCTCGTCATATTTCGGTCGCCAGCCCGGGCATGTCGGCCCTAAGTTGCGCAGATCCCCCCCCCCCTCCCCCCGCCCTTTTCTCCTTGCACTCCTTCTCTCCTGCGCCTTCTCTGCACCTTGCCTCGCATGACTGGCCCAGCACGCGAGATGCTCTCGTGGGCCGATGACCGGGAGGCCGCGCCGCTGGTCGGCCCGGCCGATGCCTCGTCCCCGGAGCTGGTGCTCGATAGGCAGTATCGCGAGGTGGCGGCCGCCTCGGCATCGGCCGCGCTGGCGTGTGTCCGGCTGGGGGTCGAGCGCTCGCCTCCGGCGCCGGTTCTTTCCGGCCCCGGCCAATCAGCCAGCGTGCCATCTCAGCGACGCCTGCCCAGTTTCCTCGGAGCCGCATCGCCCCTCAGCCGTCTGGCGGGGACCAAAAAACCGGCCGCCGCTGCCGAGCTCACCTCGACCGGGGATTCTGCCCCTGCCACTGCCGTGTCTGCCGATCCGCGCGAAGACTACGTTTCCTCGCCTTCAATCTTTCTCCTTAACCATTCCGATCCAGTCGATGGCCTGGGCAAAGGCTCCTCACTTGCCCCGGCGTTGGAGTGCACGTTCCCCATGAACGCCTCAATCAACCGACAGCTGGTTCTCTGGTGCGCCCCCCCCCCC